ATAATTAATTTTATTTGTTGATTATGTTTAATTAAGCAATATTAGTTAATTAAAGTATTATATTTGTGTTATAAAGTATTATGATGATATAATGTATTATTATGTAATAATAATAATAATAATTATATTAGTTTAATAATAATAATAATAATAATATAATAATAATAATTATAAAAGTTTATTAATAATAATATTAGTAATAATAATAATAATAGTTATAATAATAATAATAGTATTAAAACCAATGTAATGATGAAATTAGAGATTAGGATAGGATTTCATCAATGTTTATGGGTGGAATTGAAGCCATATGGTTGGGAAGGTGGTTAGTAAATGTAAAAATTAGATATTTGTAATATTTATATTATATAATTTGTATATAAATTAGCTAGCCTACCTTAGAAGGAAAGAAAGGGAGTTAGAAACAAATTATAAATTCTAGTGAGCCATTGTAAGAGTGTGGAAAGGAAGAGAAAGAAAGAAAGGAGCTTGGACCGGTGTAGGGAATTTACCCGACTACGCGCAACCGGCGGATTTATTTTAAATCCAAAAAGGCAAGTTATTATCTATTTTTCCCCTTTGAATCCATAAATTAATTGTTTAAATTATTTAGATTATGATGGAGCATTGAGAGCATGCTTAGATTTTAATAAATGATTTTTTTTAGTTTATTAAATTAATGAATTTTTAATTATTTAGGATGGTAGATAATTAGTTATTATCCTATGAAGTTAAAAATAGCTAAAATATTTCCTTAAGGCGTTAGGGATTTTTTTTAGAATTTTTAGGAATTTTTCGGGCATTTTCTGCAATTTCCGGCGAGCCTCCGGCGAGGTTTCCGGCCACCGGCAGTGGAGAAGATGACCGGAGTGATCCGGTGTGATGCGGCGCATGGTAGGTTAGTGCGCGCGTGCATCCTGGCCATTAGTAGAGTCTGATTGATCCGGTGCATCGCGGTCCATGTTACCGCGGTACACCCGGATCCGTGAGCGTTGGATGGAGGGAAGGTAGATGGATCAATCCAGTGTAGCGCGCCCACATAGAAATGGTACAACCGACCAACCAGCACACGCCGCGTCATCAGGATGCATTAGTGCGCGCGTGGCAGCGCGTGTGCGCGCGTGGGAGGTTCTAGACGCGCGTGAAGGCGCGTGTAAGCGCGTGCGCGTGTGAGAAAAGTGGCGGCGCGTGTGGGAAGCTCTAGGAGGCGCGTGAGGGCGCGTGTGGGGTCTCTACAGCTGCTGAAAATTACCAGAATACCCCTAGGGCCTGTTTTGTAAATTCCAGAACCTTAAACGTGGATTTTTAGGTACTGTGTTGGTATTTACGGTTTTAACGGGCCACGAAATTATTATTTTAATACCCGTTAATTATTCGTATGGCCAATTAATCTCTTCTAAGCATCTATTGGCTCGTTTACGGTACGGATATTAATGTGATTTATTTAATGACATTGTTAAATATAAATAGTGTTAATATCTTACTAAATGGAATCAAACATTACTGTTAAATTAAATAATGCCATGTTTTAGTCATATAAATTATCCAATATATATTATGGGATATTTATACTGTTAATCATATATCAACCATGATTATTATGCTGTGTGCATTTCAGGAAATAAATGGACTGCTTAAATTATGTCGCATTTATATTATATGGATGTGTTGCCATATAGAACCATGTGAGCTGGCTAATAAGTTTAGACTCATTTATACCTTATGCATTCGTTGCGATAGACAGATGTGTAGCTGTCGGGGTATGTGGTTTAATATTATTGGCATGTGTTGCCTAATTAACATACTCGGTATATTTATTAATATTGCTGGCATGTGTTGCCTAACTTATATGCTCAGTATATTCATCAGTACTTTGCGAGGTGTTATCATTGTGTAGTTCGTTATAGTCTGTGTTGTCAGGACCGTGCACCATGTATAATAGCTGATTTCCCGGGTGGGGAAAGGCGACACTTAACCACCTAGTGTGAGTCTAAGTGATCACCGTCTATTCTGGTTGAGGTCATGTTATACATGGGATAGTTTCCTTAGGATGTATACAGATATAGTACGCAACCGATTCATAATGATTAATTTATTTGATTCTCTGATTCGGGTCATAGTAGAGAGGACTTGCTCGTGGGGTTTACCCACTATTGTTGTTATTTCAGGATACGGTCAGTACCCGTTCCAAGGTTGAGGTTAGCAGTGTGGGACCACCATCCGAACTCATCTACTCTTACGATCCAGTTCAGGGTAGAAGTTTTATGTATTACTTCAGTTTCAGTTTTTATTTACTTTTGACGTTGAACTCTCAGGGTTATATTTAGGGATCCTTGACATAGGATTTCCAAGTTGTAATGAAGTACTGTATTAAATAAAGGATGGATGGATGTTGTATTATTTAGTGTTCCTTTCTTGTCTAAATTCTTTTATTATCATCATTTTGTATTCCATGCTTGTATATTGCCAATTGTTTTTAATATCCCTCGTTTTTCGTGTATAAGCCTGATCAACTTATGCGTGGAAAATGTGGGGGTGTTACAAGTATTATTCGTTTTATTTATTTATATATATAATAAAAATGCATTCTTTCAGTAGAATGAAAATGAAAATTTCTTCTCTTCCCATACTCTTACTAGGTGTAGAAATGTGATAACCATCCAGTCGTCATCTGGCACGGACCCATGAAAGGCTTAGTGGGGGTAGCTACCCCACTGAATTTTTTTTTAAAATATTTTTTATTTTTACAAATTACCTATAGATTTTGTAAAAATCTTTAAAATGTACCTATTTTTTGTGAAAATTTTAAAAACACCCACATTCAATTTCTAAAGATTTCCCACCATACATTTATTATAGTTCAACGCAGCCCCCTCTCACACAAATCTCTGGATTGTCAATGGTCATCATCAGATGGCATGCACTTGATCCACCATCAAATTTTAATTATTAATTCGTCCATTTACTCGTGTTAATTTATTCATTTATTTGTTCATTTCATTTTATACTTATTACAAACTTCCTCTACTTGATCTTATCAATGAATGTATCAAACTACACGAGGCCCTCGCCACACCCAACCTATGGCATTGATCCAGGGCCAAAGGGTGTTCTTATAGTATGTCGGGACTCACATTCATATCCTTAGTGAAATTTGCAGGTGCACTCGTTATGAAAGATAAAGCTCCATGGGAACTGCGACACCTTCATAAGCAGATTTCTTATAACTGAGCACGAATAAGTCTCAGAACTGGCTAATCTTTTCAAGGAGTTCTTCTTTGCGGATAAACCTCTTTTTGAGTTCGGGAGTTCCTCCCTACGTATAAAACCAGATTGGAGACACCCATCCGGGAGGATCATTGTCTACGAGTAAGCCTATTCCTGATGGACCTCAACGGGTCGAAATGGAGCATAATCCCATGGATGGGAACAAGTTAGGAATGTGAATGAGCTGGATCCAATTTTACAGGTGAATGTTTCACGATTTGATTCAAAAGCCTAAGCTATTTGGTGGGCTAACATTTAACCCATATATACCTAATTACTCTTCCATTCAAATTCAACATGGATAAATTCTCCTTATTACACTAACCATTTAGAGTGTGACAACTTATATATTAATCAAATATTATTAACCATCAGGTAATCACTTGGACCAGCTGTCTTTGTCCAATCATGGACTAGTGCTGAACCCCACCCCATCTTCCTCGCTCCTCCACATGAGGACCCTTGGGACAACTTAGTGCTCCAATTAGACCTCTATTTATTGATTTTCTCATTGCCATTGAAGTAATTCCACATATCTTATAACCTGACACTCGTTTTATGCGCTGGCACATCAGTAATGCAATGCGTTGCATTACAATGCAACAAAATAGTTACATTACAAAGTACAACATGTATGCAACAATGACGTAACAAGCGTGCAACACCTTTATATAAAAAGTACAATATCTATACAATTCATTACATAGTACGTTATAATATTATTAAATTAAGAACTTAATAAATTTATATAGTTCATTTGCATTAATAATTTGAAGTTAGTGTGGTATAAATGTAAAATTATTGCATTACCCCCCCCCCCCCCCCCCCCCCCCCTTCTCTCTCTCCTCTTTGTCTTTCATGGTGCTAATAACAGTAGCTCTCGATCCAACATGCATGTTTGATATAGACTAAACAACCTATAACAAAAGGTACATCTATGACTCGTTTCACAAGTTTTGCATGGTCCGTGTTTCCTGGGATTGCATTCATTCATGGTATTTTTATTATTTTTTTATTGAACAGGATTGTAGATGAGGTTGAGGAGTACTATTCAGGATTGATCGATTCCAAGAGCCATTAACAGCCATGATGTTAGCGATCTCCACATATATTGACTCCCTTTGAAGCTATAACTAGGATCCTATGACAAGAGACCTATAACTAGGATCCTATGACATGAGAGATCGAGAAAATATTATTGAATTGAGATTCAAGGTATACGTACATAGTACATACTCGATCAATATTTGATTGAGAAGTTCTGTACGGTTTAGATCGTTAGAAGGCCAAATCACAAGGCAAACGCGTGTTTTCTGTGTAATTTTTCAATATCATAAAAAGATTGTAGATTTTTTCATAATTTTGTTGGACGTAGGAATGGACTCGAATTATTCGATTGACAAGTTGTGTACCTTTTCGATCTTTTTTTTTTTTTTTTTTTTGGTGAATAAGCAATTTGATCATCGAATATATATATATATATATATATTATACTTTTTATGTTGTTTTCAAAAACCTATCAAGGACGCTCTTATTACAAGTACTATGTTTAGTCGTTGGATCTAGAGACTTTATTCTATTGGATTGAATCAATACTTCAAATAAAGTCTCTTCATCTAGCTGTTTACGTATAACTGTATAAGGACGAGTGATAATTAAGTAAAGTGTTGAGAAGTACAAATTCTTCATAAAACTGCAACTCGTTCAAGCGGCCATTCTGTATTAATTCATCTGTGTATATATATATATATATATATCCTATATGTGTGCACCTACCATGCTACCAGTGAACTAAGAGTAAAACCATGAATGAGTGGAGATAGTATGATCCCTTCAAAGAGAGGTTGAGTGTCCCCCCTTTTTTAAGGCCAATCTCCTCTATGAGGAGGTTGAATATTGTGTAATTCGTATTCATTTATTTGAACTTTTGAAAATAAATAAATATAAAAAAAACTAAAAAAAAAATTCCTGATAGGTTAATATCGTGAAATATCCACTTGCCTAATTACTAGAGTATTTCATTCTCCAAAAGAGTATGTCTTTATTCAAGTCTCAAGTCCCGGGAGAAATGGCTAGTTTATAATTTGTTTGAATTTTTTGAAATAAATAAATAAAATTACTTAGAAAAACCTTTTTACTCAATTAATTTTTTTTTTCTTCATAAACATAGATGAAATCACCATCAATCCATTAATATTCTACATATCAACTTACAATAACTAACTATTACTACAAATAAAATTACAAAAAAAGAAAGAAAAAAAAAAAAAGGGTACATTATTATTTCAGTTTCACCATTTGCAACCACAGAGCTAGCTCAAAGAAACAACACGCTGGTGACGACGACGACTGGAACTGTTTCTGCAAAACATGGCCTCCCAAATCTCAGCGAAAGCCTCAACGATGACACCATGGTGTTGCCGAGAGTTCAGCGACAAGAAGCACTGCAAAAGCTGCTCCAATTCTCTCTCCTCGAAAATCTGCTTCTCCAACACCATCTCCATCATCGACCTCTTGAAATCCTCAAATGGGTCCTCCGATTTCTTCACCACCGCGTAGCTCTCCCTCACTTTTCCGTCCACCGTGCACGGTATCAGCTTCTTGAACACCGACAGCCTCGCCGGCGACGACCCCTCCGGCGAGCACCCGGACGACCTGCACAGCATCTTCACCTTGTAGTCGCTCTTAACATGTCGTTTCGATCTCTTCGATTTTTTGGTGATTTTTTTCTTTTGAGGCCTTGAAATGGGGGTTTCAATGATGGGTTTCAACTGGGGGTTGAATTCGGTGGACGAGTCGGTGGAGAAGCTTCTGGAAGATGAGTATGACATTAGGGTTTCGCTCTCTTCGTCGACTTCTCTCTCATCGCCTCCTTCGCTGCTGAAGAGTCCAGAATCAGCCGACGAAGTACTGGTTCGGAGTCTGGGTGTCGTTCTCTTCTTCTTGCTTCGTCGTTTTTTCTTCTCCGGCGGCGGCGGACGAGCCAATGAGGATTTGTTGTCGTCGGACTCACCGGAAACTGATGAGTTGTAGATTTTCCGGCGAGGCGTGTGGTCGTCGTGGACCATCGCGACCACGTGCCATTTCTCCTCCTTCTGCCACTGAACTTCCGGGTCGGAGTCGGACTTGAACCCGAACCCGCATCCGACGGAGTTGAATGCAGAGGACACGTGGCGCTTGAAGGAGGAGCGATGATGGTGGGCGGGTTTGGGGGTCGCCGGAGGATCAACGGCGGGAAAGTTTTGGTTGGCCGGAGAGAGTCTGAGGAAGGAAGGGACGGGTTCTTGTGGGAGAGTGGAGGGGTCTTTGGAACGACAAGAATGGAAGGAGGTGATGACTCTGGAGATCCGAAGCTTGAAGGGTTTGGACATTGTGTGTGTGACTGTGTGAGAGAGAGAGAGAGGAGTGAGAAAGTGTCAAATGTGTGAACTGTTGGTGTGAGCAATGTGAGTTTATATAGGGAGCCTGAGATGTTAATGAAGAGATATTCTCCTGATCCAACTAAATAGCTGCTGTGATCAGTGGACATTAATTAATATGGACATTAGATTTGACTATAATTGATTGAAATATGATACTCCATAATTAACACCAATTAGGAATTTCAACTTTTAATCATTTGTTATTAACTAAAAAAAGAGAAAACTTTTAATCATTTGTTCAAGTTTTTGCTTTATGAATAAAATGGTTATATAAGTAGCTGTATTAATTCATTGGACTTGTATATAAGATTGTTAAAAGTAATTTTATATGCAATTGGAGTTTAATGTATAATGTAATTCTAAGAACTACAGTAGTTCATTCAAATAAGTACTTTCTCTTTCTATATCAGTTTAATGGATTTATTTGCATTGAGAAAATTTCTAGATATATAGATATATATATATATGGACACACACGTCCAAACATAGCGAAGTGATAAGCAAGAAATATAAAAAAAAGGGTGCTATTACCATCGCATCCAACGGCTAGAAACTTCAGGGTATGCGGTATCTTTGAGATATTATAGATTTTTATCAAGTTTGGAGTAAGTCTATAATACCTGGGGGTACGGTACCCTAGTGCCTTTCAGTCATTGGATTATCTATTAGGTAGGTCTTATCACCATATCCAACGGATGAGAACTTTGAGAGTACGGTATTCCTGGTGCCTCTTTACTGTTGGATCATCTATCAGGTGGGTCCCACCACTGTCACATTCAACAGTTGAATACGTTATTCTGAAGTATTGTAGACTTTCACCGAGTTTTGAATGATCATTATCATGCTAATTATGTTGATGATATAAATATTAAAGTTATACTTTATATAACAACTTAAATTTTAGAGTAAAAAGTTGTCAACATGGAAAAATTGTTATATGTCCAAGGGAACATTTGAGCAAATTCAGTTTTATGTCGCTTCAATTAATTTTTTACTTATGTTTTGCTTTGCTATTGGCCGGGTCCATTAATATATAGTTTCAGAATTAAAGGTCTCAAAATATACGTTGGACCAAAAGAAACAAAATGACCTCCCTGTGTATATATGGCCTCTCTGTGTGTATGTATGTACATAATAATATATATATATATACACAGAGGTATGGAAAAATAAATTATAATGAGCCGTCTTCAAAGGAAACCAGGGTAGAATTTCTAAGAGAGACCAGATTATATCCAATAATCCCAGGTGTATCCAGAGGGAGGCTGACGGATTCTTTTGCCATACGACAAAATCATTTGACCACTAAAAATCTTGAGGACTGAATAGCGGAGGTTACCACTTGGAGCTTTCATGACCTTTGCCACATTAATATTATACATCTATAAACAGGTATGAATGTGTGTGTATTTATGTGATGATATTTGCAATCATTTTTTTCTCTATACACACACCTGTGTCGCACAATGCCACTGTACTTTTGAAGGGTGATTTGGTCCTTTCAATCATTTAAAAAATTCAAATAGAGTTAAGCAGTGAAAACTGGACTGTGGGCAATTTTTTTTTTTTTAATTACATTCTTCATTTCTTTTCGAAAACTACTACAATATATGTGATGAGGTGTTCAACCGAAGTGTGTGGCTACATTAATAAAGGAGAAACAATTTTGCAAAAAGAACAAAAAAAAAATAAAATAAAATAAAATAAAAGAATAAAAGTTTCACAAATTCTGGTTCAATCATGAATATTCAATATGTATATATATAATTGTCTTATAAACGTGTTAAGACACAGTACACAAGTAGTAGTAGCACATCTTTTGATCAAGAAAGAACAATATTCTCCTCCAATCTCCATATGGTACCCTGTGCCTAAGGCTATGAAATATATATATATATATATATATATATATATATATATATGTATATAAGAGAAAAAGTGCACCATATTTCAATTTGAAATACAAAACTGTTCATCTGCATAAACAATTCAACAGATTTATTGGGAAATGCAAAATTGCAATTTTGTCAAAAGGGTACGAACATGCAGAGGAGCCTAACATACTGTCCTCTCAAATTCACAGTGTCATTCTTGAGATTGCAAAGAATAACATTGACTACTCTTTTTAAGTTATCTAATTATTCCAATACAAATTTATTTATTTATTTTAATGGATGTCTAAAAAGCCTAAGTTTTCATTTCTCATTAGGTCCGACTATGATACCAACTACAACAACCATGATACCAACTACAACAACCATCTGAATTCAACGTGGGACAAATTCCCCTTTGTAACACTAGTTGTAACAGGTGGACATTTACTCATTTACCCAAAAGTTCAAGCTGTTGTGTACTACTGCATACCTATCAATTTATACACAATCACTTTCCCATTCAGATCTGATGTGGGACAAATGACCCCTTGTTACATTCTCCCCCACCTAAATTCGTAATGCCCTCGTTACGGCTTGGGCCACCCTGCCTACTCGGGTGAGTCACTTGAATGACTTCTGGACTGAGCGCTTGACGTGGCATCAGACCAATGATTGGATTGTGCTCTGATACCAACTATAACGGATGAAAGTTTGTCCATTTACCAAAAAATTCAAATTATTGGGTAGTATTGTATACCCGCCCATACCCAATCACTTTTCCATTCGAATCCGATGTAGGATAAATGACCCTTGTTACACTAGTCCAGTACACGAGTCCCATCCCTATAATTTTAGGAGGGTTTGATGTACTCAGGTTTATCTTTTGAGAACTAGTGACCTCCAGATGATGATTGAGTAATTTTACCATTATGCCAAGACTAACAAAAGACGATGAATATTACGTGTTGCAAATACTGTATAACCGATGACATTATTCAAGTAAAATGGAATGTATTTCCACCCTTAGTGGTCCAAAAGTTCCAAACATTATCATTGCACAAAGGGACACACCTACATACAAGTCAATTCAAATGGACTAAGATAGCCCTAGACAGTCAATAAAAAAGTGCAATAAGTAAATAAAAGCAACTTTTTGTCCTGACCATGTTTTGGCATTTACATTGTTACACTTGCAAAGCATGGGATTAAAAAGGAGACTAGCTTTGTAATGTAAAATTACAACTTTTAGCCTATAGTAAAACAAAACCCTAAAAAAAGAAAAGACAATCCAAAGAAGCATCCTTTGAAAGCACAAGGTGGGGATCCAAGGGAACAAAATCATCTATGCATGCAAATGTCTTCTCTTTCTTTCTCTCTCTCTCTCTCTCTATACACACACACACACACACACACACACACACATATATATATATCTCCTTTTTAGGGACACACTCATTTGGCTAAAGTTAAAGCTCCTTTCTACACTCAATTGTCCCAAACATGGTGCGCTCTGCAATAGCTAGTAAGTGAGATTACTTACCCTATTCCCATCCTGTCCTTTTGAGTTGCTTTTAAAATTTGAATCTTTATCATCTTGGGTTGGGTGAAAAAGTTTACATGTTGAAAAACATGGGTTTAAAAAAGCCCATAATTGATCTAATATTTTATTTTCCAAACAAGGAAATAATCTCATGGGCCGACCCAAGTATATTCTTTTAATGGGCCTAATGGCCCATCCTATGGTCCTAACCTATTCTCAGTGAGCCCACTTGGTTTAGTTTTTTCTTCTAGGCCCAAATCCTCCTTTGGATGACTTTCGGATCTATGGATTTAAAATTCACTTTTTATAATAGTCAAGTGGTAAATCCAGGATTTGGAGACATAAAATTTGAACTGCGGCATGTGGTTAAGTGGTATCTCATCTTCTTTTAAAGTAAGAAAAAAAAAATGAGGGTTTTGAGTCTTTTAAAAAATTTTGAGAGAAATTTTTATTTCCGAATCCATCCATCGTCCCATTCCCCCTCCCATCTTATTTAGTTTATATATCCATCCCTGTTTTCATTCTATTTGGTAAAATAATATATTATTAGCTAATATACATTTTTTAATAAATAATTAAATTCAATAATTATTAATTTATTTTTATTATTTGCATTTTTATAAATGTGTATATAAATATATCTAAAGAATTGAATAAACTAGTGGAGTCCACTTTCATTTCAAAATAAGTAGTCCATATGCCAACAAACTTGATATTTAAGGCAAAAATTTGAAGTTGTGGATTCGAATATTGCATCAAATTCTCCGTCTCAATCACCATGTCATCACTTTCTTATCCTGAAAATTGCGTCACTTTGAGTGCAACCCCTTTGTTTAATTGTGTTTTGGACTCCACAGAGTTGACTATTTTTTATTCAACAATTCCCCAAATTCTACTCCACGTGCGTGACTTTAAATGTCTATTTCAACATCAATGTGAAATGAGTTTTAAATTGTGATACATGCACACAATAAATTAGCCGAAATGCAAGACTGATAATTACAAAAATATGTGAATTTAACGTCCTAACTTTTAATTCATAAAAATTTCGTTATGCGAAGAATGATATTTAACATCGAATTCGAATAGAAAGTAAAATAAATATATATAAATTATTGTTAAAACGTTGTGATTTGTACAATTTTTATTTTATTTTTCTTTCTTTCCTTCTCTCTTGAAACCAACACTGTATCTATAATTAATTACTAGCATATAGTGGTTCTAAAATTTTATAATGGAAAAAATAAAAATAATAAAAACTGGCCACCTCATGAACCAAATACAGTAAACAAATGAGCATGTGCGGCAGTCTCAGAATTATTTTGAGGTGGCAAATCTCAAGTTGATCTTTACATTTAAGTAGGCAATCTCATTTTGATCTTTACTATATATATATATATATATATATATATATTAGTTACCTTTTCCAAATCTGAAGCAGCCGACGAATTTGAATTTTTATACATACCTTCAATTTGGCCACTAGTAATAGGATTCCCTTGGGCCTTGGTCTTGTGCTACGTGTTGATGATTAAAGCAATACACTATCTCGTGATGCAAGAGATATATACA